TGATCGAATCGAATCAAACATTGATTTGGATTTGATCAAATAAATCATTTTTTGATTTGAATTTGATCAAATCAAATCAAATATAAATTTGTATTTGTATTTGATTTGAATTTCAAATCAAATATTCAAATATCAAATTGAATTGCGGAACCCTAGTGATGGTATTGTTAATTTCTATAATAATTAGAAAATAAAATAAAAAAGAAAAGAAATAATGATAAATTAAATTCAAATATTTTATCTTTATTATTTTTTTAAAAAAACCAATAAAATTACCCAAATTTTTATCATAAATTAAATAAAATGTGATGGTAATGGTGGAGTAGAAGGAGGAAGAACATTATCTAAAAAAAGTTCAAAAAATAATAATAATAAAGTTCAATTGGTTAATAATTTTATATTAATTTTTTTTGTAAAAGTTGGCTATATAATTCATACTAATTTTTTTTTCTTTTTTTGAAAGTGAAAAGTTGATTATTATTATCATTATCATTATTATAATTTTCATATTTTCTTTACAATTATTATAATCGCAATGATGTTGTAAGTATTTTTTAATACTTTCTTTTATTAACCAACTTCCTATTTCAACTTGAATTGTTGGATTTTTTTTTTGAACTATTGTTATAATATAATTATTAATATTATCCTAACTGCTAAATAACCAAATACTTTATATTCTTTTTTTATTATCTTTAATAGAAGAATTATATCTTAGCTTTTGTAATTAATCTTAAAATCAACTTTCAAGAATAATATACAAAAACGAACCTTTGACTTTAAAAAATGAAAAAATAAAAATAAATATTATAAATAATATAATTATACTTGACATGGTAATTATTTTAATTAAGTATATATATAATACGTAATTATGGTAATTAATTACCATTTTTTTAAAAAAACATAATTGCAAAATTATTTATAGGGGTGGTAATTTATTATAGGAACGTAATTATTACAGAGGTGGTAATTAATACTTATAAACATAATTAATTATGTAGATAGTAATTAATTTTGGGAAACTTAATTAATTATGAGGTGATAATTAATACTTATAGACATAATTAATTATAGGGATGGTAATTAATTATATGCGACTTAATTAATTATGAGAGATATAAATTTTTTAATATATAAGTGTATAAAAAGAATTCTATAGCATTGTTAATATTATTTTTAGCTTTAATTTAAGTTCTAATTCACTTTGTATAATCTTTATGCATAAAAATGCATAATTTCCTTTATAATATTTATCATGTGATTAATATCGAAATATACATTAAATTCAATTTATTTAAAATTTGAATAGCAAAAAATTAGAATAAAAAAAACTCTCTTCCTTTTTACAGAACCAAAAATTTTTATAGAAAAATAAAAAATTAAAAAGTTCATTTTTAACAAAAAATTAATTAATAAACACAGTATAAAGAAGGTTTTTTTTTGTTTTACCTCACCTTCTTACTTACGCAAGAGAGTTATGACACGTAAAAGTACTACGAAACAAAAAAATAATAACCTAAAGTTCATTCTATACATCACTCTAAAAGCTTCAAAAGAAGCTACTAGTTCTACTTCAGCTTCTTTATCTTCTTCAACCTCAACTTCTGTTCCCACCAACCTAGATTTAAAAATTGTTCAAGAAGTTTTTGGCTCACAATTAGATAAAACAATGGAGTTTAATTTTTTAACGTAACTAAAATTGCCACTCCTAACAATACTTTACCAGTTATTCTGCCTTTGAATAATAACAATAATAATAATACGAAAGTTGACGATATTCCTGAAAACTCCAAAAATAAGTCAAAACTTTTGGATCCTGATGAATATCTTAAAGACAATATGGAAGAAGACCTGAAAGATTTTTACCATTGTTACCAAAGCTACTCCCTTTACAGTTGTTAGTAATATCAAGTTTACCCCTAAAGAAAAGAATAACAGCAGAATTATTCTTGCTATCAACAATATTTTCACCCAAAATGATGACTTTAAAGGAGTATCGGTCTGTTGCGTAAATTTAACATGTTCTGTAATTGTCTATTTTGCGATGTCAGACGTGGCTGCTACAGCTATTCATGTGACCATCCCTGATCTGAAGATCGATTCTTTCTGTGACTTCACCCAATATAAAACCAATATGCAATTCAATAAAAGAACTATTCATGTTACTGACATTCTATTGCAAATAAAACCCGCCAATATCAAACAAATCTTTGCCAAATATGGGACTGTTATAGATTTTAGAATAACAGTAAGAGGCATGTGGCAACATGCTTATATTACTTATGAAAATCCCAAATGTATCGAACTATTTTATCAAGTATGGAGCCGATTTGTCCAAAATGATTCTGTTAATGTAAATCCCTGCAATATATCTCCAGAAGAGGTCAAATATAGAAACACTCATTACATCAAACTAATGAACCTTCCTTTTGGAACTACCACAAGAGATCTACATAATATTATTCTTGCAACCAAAGCCAGAGCTAGCTATATCCCAAGATTTAACAACTACAAATCTCATCCTTTTGTTATCTTACATTTTGAAAGCAAAGAAACTCTCAATCATGCAACACAACAAAATTTCGCCTTTGGAAATAATCAATTGACCTGGTGTTCTCTCGATGCTAGAAGTTGTCATAAATGTGGTAATCCAGCACATTTAGTTATGCAATATCCCTATTTACAAAAAAAGACTGACTCACCAAATAATAATGAAGATCAACCAATACCTAAGTCTACTACTCAAAACAACTTGATGCAAAGACTTTACAACAAATTCAAACTTGCTGGTTTTAAAAAATTTGTTGATTCTAATCGATCTAAGTATTCTTCCAAATCATATTCTGAGGTCATCAAGAATAAGAATACTTCTCCACTTCCCAAAAGATGTTATTAAACCAACTGTGAAGGATTCTGTTCACAATCTGAATAATGAAATCAATAGTAAATTGGATCAGATTTTCTCAATTCTCTTCAATATGAAAAAGGATATGAATGAACTGGATGCTAGAATCGCCAAGCTTGAATCTCTTCAGTCTTTGTCTACAATTACGTCTACAGTAATTCCTTCAACTATTATCAATAAAGAAAAAGATCTATTAATAGTTTCACACATTTCTCAACCATCATCAAAATTACAGGATACGTCTAATAAAAGATCTTGTATTGCTGAATCTTCAAGTGATGACTCTTCAACTTCACCAATCTTGACCTCAAAACCTGATCTTACTAATATAGTGAATGAATAAGCTGCTATTATTGCTAAACAAAAAAGACAGATGAACAGAATGTTCAAATAAATTGAACAATTCGCAATAAATGCTATCCAGTCTCAAAATTAGATACACCCTTAATTTACATTCTCTAAATGATTAATACAACAAATAATATTCTGTTACCTAATATTTCCCCCACTGATCCTATTAACAATGATAATCATTTTTCACCAACAAATATTAATGCTCAACTACCTCACAATTTACTTTCATCACGTGATCAACTCACTTTTATTATAGATAATGACTTAGAAAATTCACATAATGATGATTAAAGATGGTACAGCAATTGATTTCAAATTTACAAAATGTTGCAACGTAAGCTAAAATTAGTTGCAACATAAGTTGCAACATTATAAGCTGCAACATATATAGGTTAAAACTAATTGCAACGTAAGTTGCAACATTAAAAGTTGCAATATATTAATTACAGTTCCCATCTTTAGTGATGATAAAGAATTAATTTTAAATAGAAACACCTTCACTTTTGCTACTCATAATGTTCATTCTCTTTGTGATGATGTTAAAAATAGCAAGATACTAGATATTTTTACCAAAATAACGTTAATTTTGTTGCTTTATCAGAAACTTAGCATCAATCTTCACAATCTTTTAGATATTCTTCTGATCCTTTTTTGACACTTTATAGAATTCTGTTTCTAATAAGTTCACAGGTGTTGGTTTACTTATCAGCAAATCCTGATCAAAGCATATTACTAAAAAATTCTTGGATAATGATTGGTATATTTATATTGATCTCTACTTAAAAGAAAATATTAAATTAAGAGTTTTCTCAGTTTACATCTATGTCATTAAATCTAAAGAAAGAAAAGTTCTACAAACAATATTACTATGACTTATAGACAATAGTCTTCAGTCTGATTTTCACATTATCATCATAGGTGATTTTAATGCAGATCTAATCAAATTACAACATCTCATTGATTCTGGTAAAACCATTCCTTAGAACTATAATCTTGTACATGGTCTTGTACTTAGAAACTTCTTAGACTTGTATGATATTTATCATAATACACCTTACTCACATTCAAAAGATCGAATACTTCCGGTCGTATTGATGCAATCTTTGCTTCTCAAAATCTTGTTTCTGATTTTCTTTATTGTAATATTATCCATTCATATTTATACAAATCTAATCACGAGATTGTTATTGCTTATTTCTTCAATATTTAACATGAATCCCAATCTCATTCAAGAATCAATAATACCAAAAGAAAAGTTCCTCTTCTTAAATCCATAGACTCCTTAAAATGGACAAGTTTTGCTGATTATTCCAATACCTATTACAATAATCACAATTTTGATCGCTTAAAAGATCTCCCATCTAATCATGCAAATATGAATAATCTTTGAATGGAATTGAAAAAAAGCTGTTCTGAATATTAGTAAATCTAAAATTCCTCACAAATGGATCTCTACAAAAGATCATGCATTTAAACCAAAAGATCTTTCTCAATACTACCCATTACTCACTAAGATCGAAAAGATTCTTCTTAAATATTAGTCTAAAAGAATAAGAGAACGGCTTTGGCCTATTGGTGAAGAATGGAAACATGATCTAAATATTGTTGCAAATATTGTCAAAGACATTTCATATCTTTTAGATCCTCTGCCTCAATTTTTAAATTTATCAAATGTTAAAGAAGTTAAAAAAACTCTCAACTACATCTATAAAGTCTTATATAGGCTCACTAAATTAGATGCCAAGAAAAACACTGATGCACAAATAAAATCACTTATTGGAAAAAGGTGCAATCAACTTGTGTCTCAACCTGATAAAATGATAGACTCTATTTTGTAAAGAAAAAAGAGGAAAATTACTTTGGATTGAATCTTTGTCAACAATAATGATGGCTCTAAATACTTCACCCTAGATCCTGATACAATCAAAAAAGTTGCAATTAATTACTTCCAAAATCATGTATTACTATTAACACCCCTGAGATCCTTGGATGGTAGATGGCTCTCACAATATCAGCTAAAAGATTACGTATCTGAGAATATTTATGACAATCTTATGCAACCTCCAACATATAATAAATGGTACTTAGTTCTTTTACATTTAGCAAAAGACAAAGCTGCTGGACCTTCAGGTATTTATAACGAAATGTTTCAACATTTAGGAGATAAATTCAAGCACTTAGTTTGGCAATAAATTTGCATGTATTTCACAATTGGTGACACTCCCAATGAATGAAAAATTGCACATATATACCCAATTCCTAAACCAATAGAATGAGAATGTAACATTACAAAGATCTATCTGATCACCTTATTAGAAATATTAAGAAAAGCATTTGTCAAAGTTATTACAAATTGACTCTCAAAAATTTTCGCTAATCATCATATTCTAAAAGGTAACAACTTTGCTGATTTACCTGGAAGCTCTACAGAAAAACTGATCAAAATTCTAAATATACTATTAGAAGATGCTAACGAAAACAAAAAAGAGCTTTGGATTTTATTGCAAGACCTCTCCAAAGCATATGATCGTGTTGACTTAAAATTTCTTCGTCTCACCTTACAACGTATCAAAATTCCTGCTAAATGTGTAGATCTAATCATCAACCTCTTCATAATAGAAAAAATGCAATATTTACAGCCGATAGTCTTACTGATTACTATGATATCAAAATTGGTATTGATCAAAAAGAATTTATTTCTCCTTTATATGATGCATTTATCTGGATCCCTTTTATGTGAAGTAGATGCTTTAAACAAAGGATACGAAATATCTCATACATGAATAATAACATAATCAGCAATACCACTATAACTCTTTTTAAATCTGTATCATCTTTGGCCTATATGGATGATACTAACTGAATTGCTAACTTTCAACAAAATTTAGAAGATATTCTTGCGATAGCCGATAATTTTTATGATTTAACTAGAGCTGCCTTAAACAAATCCAAATCAAAGCTTACACTAATCAAATGATAACAAATAGGAGACCAATCGGGTCAAATCTGGGTTGTCAGATTTGACCTGATTGGTCCCCTATTTTTTGTTTTTTTAGAATCAGGTGATTCCGATTGATGATGATTAATGGCGCAAATAGGAGATAATAAGGTTCCAATCAAAGTGTTATAAAGATATCAATAGGGTTATTCTTATTGATATCAATTTATTAATGTTAATATCCAGTTTCCAATCAGATTATTCCTAAGTCATCAATAGGGTTATTCTTATTGATATTAATTTATTAATATCCAGTTTCCAATTGGGTTATCTCTAAGTCATCAATAGGAATATTCTTATTGGTTTTTTTTTATTATTATACAAATAGCGTATTATCATTGGTAACATTTTATCAAATTATTTAATACTTGTAATAATATTTTATACCAATAAGTAATCCTAATTAATTATAATAAAAGAATTTTTATTAATATGAAATATCCTGATTGGTAACATTTTATCAAATTTATTTAATACTCGTAATAATATTTTATATCAATAAGTAATTCTGATTAATTATAATAAAAAGAATTTTATTAATATGAAATATCCCGATTGGTAACATTTTATCAAATTTATTTAATACTCGTAATAATATTTTATACCAATAAGTAATCCCAATTAATTATAATAAAA